AAATTTCACATTGCTCAGATGGACGGTTGTTAAGATATTTGCATGTGAAATAACAGGAAGTGATTTCAAAAGGGAACATCTGCGTGGGAATACTTCAAAAATAAATAAATGTTACCAATTATTTTAATGTTTGATACAAATTACAGTCATCCTATTTACAAAGTGTTAACATTTTCAAGACTTCTGAAGATTGATTTAAGACATTTTAAGGCTAATTAAGGCCTTATTTTTGGATTGATGAATTCAAGGCCTTTTAAGACTTTTTAAGGATCTGCAGGAACCCTGTCCACTGCCTTCCCTGGAAGACATTGGGGATCCATCTTTGGTGGAGAAACTGAAGAAGGTGAATTTACATTTTTGCGTACATTCATAGAATTGATGGTAACCATTAAGCTGAAGTTCAAGAAAAAGCTGGCTGTACTAATTTTGTTTCCTTTATGTTAAAGAAAAAGGAGGTCGTTGATCTGCCATCAGCTAGAGATGCAATCTCAGATGCTGCTGACAGTCTGTCTTTGCTGGGCGGCTTCAGGCACATTATATCGTTGGAGGGACGTGACGAAGTCCTACAGTCTGCTACGAACTTGTATGTTGATGGTCGAACCAAAGAAGCACTTCAACAGTAAGTTGTCTTTTTGCTTTTACTGTATTTGTACACATTCAAGACGATTCGTCAGTTTCACAACCTGATGTCTTTGAGTTATTATAACAAACATTTAAATGGGCAATATCGTGTAAAATCAACTTGTTTGAGTGATTTAGTGATTCTGTGGCAGTTAAATATTTTGAAACTAACTACAAAGTTGTGGTTTCGTGTCATTATTAATATTCCCTCTGTAATAAATTTGTTGATCAATCCTCTGCCGCCCACTGGCTCTGTGTTGTATCCACAAAAAAAGGGAAGAAAATCAACTCTTTATAGTGAACCTGTAGCTTAATATTTTTTCAACTAATTACAAAGTTGTTGTTCTGTGTCGTCCTAAATAGGCTATTCCCTCTGTTTTTAATCTCCAGCAGGGCTGTCTTCCTATCAAGCGTGCACGCACACTCACGCACACACAAACTGAATCATCTCATTTTACAGGTTTTTTGATTGTGGCTAGTTGCTGTTCAGTGTCTTTTGTAATAATCCCTCGGTGATAAATCTGTAGATTAATCCTTCAATGCTCACTTGCTGTGCGTTATCAGACAAAAAAAAGGATAAATATTGAGCTTGTTACAGCAAACCTGTGGCTCATTCATTTTAAAACTAACTATAAGTTGCTGTATCATGTCATTCAGGGTTTCCCGCAGTGCATTATTGTCACGACTTGGTGGTGAGGAGAACCCAAAATGCAGGCAGGCAGGCAGACCAAACTTAAAGTAATTAAAAAGACTTTAATAAAGAAAAAGGCCAACGTGGTGGCAAGCTAACAAAACAAAGAAACAAAACAAAACTTGGAACATGAGCATGAGCTGAGAACAAACATGGGTAAGTAATGGTCAGACGCTGAAGTGRTGAAGAGAAGATCCTTAAATACAAACAGGGCTGAGTGGAAGTAGGAAACAGCTGGGTGATTACAGTTAAAGACAGATGAGTGTGGCAGGCTGGAAATATACTAAGAAGCTGACTGAGGTGAAACATGGCACAGGAAACTGAAAACAGGAAATGAGAAAATAAGACARTACCAAAACAATCTGAAAAATACTACCAGAAAATAACCAAAACACCAGAATCATAACAATTATACACCTATATAGAGAATAAATCCTCAAAATCTCTCCCTCACGCTGTAAAAAAACAGCGTGGATCACTCCCTCCCTCCTGCTGCACGTCATGCAGATTAAAGCTTTTAGAACCATAGTTTTTCCACATCTAAGTTGTCAGAGAAAAAAATGTTTTTTTATGTATTGTTACCCTCGAAGATGAAAAACGATGCAGACATTCGTTCAGTCATAAGTCTTTCTTGCTAATGTAACAGTCGGCTCGGCTTCTGCTCAGAGTGCAGCAGCAGTTCAACAGGAGCTCACTGTATGGCAGACCGATATTGCATTTGTTTGGCTTCAACACAGTTAAATTACCAAATATTTGAAAACTGCGTCATGACTAAACTAGATGATTATTTAAGATAAAATAATGTTGATTTTTGTTTCACTTATTTTTCTTATTTACTTAAAATACGTTATATTTTCAAATTTCCTGTCAACTTTAACATTTTAACAAAACATGGTGGGCAGCTGATGGGCTGATAAAGCGGCCCTACCACCGGGCTTTTCTGGTTTTCTGGGGGAAACCCAGTCATTTCTAATATTCCATTGGTAACAAATCTGTTAGTCAACATTTTCTGAGTGCAGATCCACGGGTTGCTTTTTCACAAATGGCTCTGCCTGGCTCGGGTCCAGCTCTACTACCTCTGCTTGCGGCTCAGGAGCGCATCAGAGGCGGGTCCATTTCACTCGCCTCTCCTCCTTTGTGTTTTTTCTGAATGCTCATAGGAGAACAGAACACGCACCAGGCCCGAACTGAGCTGTCTAATGGTGCGTTCACACCAAACGCGATTTCAGCATCAGGAGCATCAGGTTTACATACAAAGTCTATGGTGGACGCGCTTCAAGCAGCGTCATGAAGTGCTGCGGCGCCTCAGGCGCGATTAGAGCAACGCGATTTGAACGATCTGAGCGTTCGACGTGCTGAGGCGCAAATCGCTGAAGTTAGAAAATCTGAACTTTTGCAGCTCGACGCGCCGCGTCAACCA